TTATTGATACAAACCAATAAAAATATATATATATTTTTAGTTTGCCTTTTATGGATACTTAAAAATGCAGATTAATAAAAAATATTAAATTTTATTGTACTATGCATTTACTTGCTATTGATACTTTTATCGTTACAAAAATAAACCATTTTTTTTTTAATATAAATTTTATTTTCATTTTTGCTTTTATTGATACTATTAAAAATGCAATAAAACAAAGTAATAAATTATTAAATACTATACACAACTTCATCGGTTGTATTTACTAAATTGTCACATGCTTTAAAATTGAAAGTTGAGTTTTATCAAATGTATTGCTTGTTGGATGTTGAATCTGTCGCTCTCTTGAGCTTTCTTTATGAATCGAGGTTTTCTGATTGAGACTTGACTGTCCTCATGGTTTGGTTTCTCTGCTCAGGGTGTGCTGTGCGAGGAGAACCTGCGTGCTGTCCGCTACGACATCCACGACGTGACTCTCCACACGGATGCCATCCACCGCGGCGGTGGCCAGATCATTCCCACGGCCCGCAGGGTCCTGTACGCCTGCCAGCTCACAGCCGAGCCCCGACTCATGGAGCCCGTCTATCTGGTGGAGATTCAGGTGAGACGCCGCGTTCTTCACGTCAGCTTTATTGCGTAAATCCTCATCTTTAACATATGAGCGTCTCTGACCCGCGTCTCTTCCTCTCTCTCAGTGTCCAGAGCAGGTGGTGGGCGGCATCTACGGCGTGCTGAACAGAAAACGAGGCCACGTCTTCGAGGAGTCTCAGGTCATGGGAACACCCATGTTCATCGTTAAGGCCTTTCTGCCCGTCAACGAGTCTTTTGGTTAGTATCCATCATCACATTAATGATCCTTTTTATCGAACATATGTGACCCTGGAGCACAAAACCAGTCATAAGGGTCCATTTTTTTAAATTGAGGTTTATACATCATGAATAAGCTTTCCATTGATGTATGGTTTGTTAGGATAGGACAATATTTGGCCGAGATGCAACTATTTGAAAATCTGGAATCTGAGGGTGCAAAAAAAAAATCTAAATATTGAGAAAATCATCTTTAAAGTTGTCCAAATGAAGTTCTTAGCAATGCATATTACTAATCAAATTACGTTTTGATATATTTATGGTAGGAAATTTACAAAATATCTTCATGGAACATGATGTTTACTTAATATCCTAATGATTTTTGGCATAAAAGAGAAATGTATAATTTTGACCCATACAATGTATTGTTGGCTATTGCTACAAATATACCTGTGCTACTTATGACTGCTTTTGTGCTCCAGAGTCACAAATGGGTTTAATGTACTAAAAGTTCACTTTTGCCTAAAGTAATGTTTTTAAAGGATAATTCCACTTTTAAGAATTAATTTTTTTTGATAATTTACTCATCCATGTTATCCAAGATGTGTACAATGAATACTGCATACAAAAGATAATTGTCGAACAACAGACATAAAACGCAAGCAGTGTAGAAATGAGTGAAATTCATCTGTCAGAAGATCCACATCAGCCTCGAACTCCTCAGTTAATATACAGTTATTAGAGTGATTCCTGACTCACTGAATCAGTAGAAATCAATGGCTGGTGGTTCAGAAGACCAATGACGTTAAAGATGAAGTTTTAGAAAATTATGTTTTCAGTTTAAGTACACATTTAAAATCATTTTTTCTTACTCTGTTTTCCATAAGCAAAATAATAATACTTTTCAACAGTATAATTTTATTAGTAGTGGTAGTATAATTAACTTATTTTTAATTTTTTTACTAAAATTGCTGTGCATTGAACTTTGATGGTAGTATGTTTATTATATCTTATCTTATAAACACATTTTAATATTGATAGTGATTTTAAGTTTTTTTTTCTTTTTTTTTCTTGTTTTGTACAATTCAGCAGTAGTAGTTATCAGTATTATTAGTGTTCAGTTCCAGGGTTTAAGGAGCCAGTTTTGTGCTAGTAGCAGTTCTCATTCCTAATGAAAGTCCTACTCTCTATTAAATCCACATGTTTGTGTTCCGTCTCTTAACATCTCGTGTGTGTGTGTGCAGGTTTCACAGCTGACCTGCGCTCTAACACCGGCGGCCAGGCCTTCCCTCAGTGTGTGTTCGATCACTGGCAGATCCTGCAGGGTGACCCCCAGGACCCCGCGTCCAAACCCTTCCAGGTCGTGGCCGAGACTCGCAAACGCAAGGGCCTGAAGGAGGGCATTCCCGCACTCGACAACTTCCTCGACAAATTATAAACGGCCCCGCGACACGTCTCTGTGCTGTAGCCCGACCTTGACGCTTTACACTCATTCCACTGGCTCCCTTCCCTCAGAGTTCGGCAGAGGGACTGGACTGTACCGGGCACAAACACCACACGTTTATCACATTCTGACGGCAAATTCATGTGGATTATGTAAATCTAATAAAGAAAATAAAAATGGAAAATTACTCTCCTGCATGCGTGCGGTGCTTCATTGCCAGTCAGTGCAGATGTTGACTAATAATGTGTCCAAGGTCCATGACATTTTAGGTTTTCTAATTTATGTCTTTAGTTTCTGTGCTACTGTGTGTCCAAATATTTAATGTAGTTTTTGTGCTCAGTAAGTCTGTTTGTGATTACACAAGATTTGTCTGTCTTATTTAAATATCAAAACACAATATATTAACTATTGTATTTCAACACAAAATATGTAGTATTTATATTAAGTTTATTAGTGTTGTATTTTTATTAGAAAAATGCAATGATAAAAATCAAGCCTTTTTTTTTTTTTTTTTTTGTAAATGATCAGTTTATTTGTATTTTAAAGACTCCACCCCACCCGCTTGACCTTTTTCATGACTGGCTTTCTCCTCATCACTGATTTTGGTGGTCAACATTTGAAGTGGATCAAAACCTTTCATCAAAGTTGTCCTAAAACCATAATGCGTTTGTGTCTTAAACTTTTTTAAGATATTTGTTTTACATGCTCAATTGTTTAAGGTAATTTTTTTTTAAATTGTCAAACTAATTTTCACACAATTTTACCATCTTGTTGCAACATTTTTACAAAAATCAAGATTTAATATATTTGGTCAAGATCCCATGTTGTAAAAGATGGAAGTGCTATTTAAGACTGTATTGGCTGATTAGACCTAAAAGGCTAAATGTTTGCCCTCTTCCCACATCTCATACCTCAAATACATAAAATATTACCCTTTTTAGTAAAATAAATTTTCATGCATTATGAATAGGTCATGGTCAATTTATTTATATAGCACATTTAAAAACAACTAGTGTCTGCCAAAGTGCTGTACATAAAATAGAACAGATACTATAAAGAAAATAATCATGTTTGTGGCCATTAAATCAGTGCCGTCCTAAAAATCAAAAACATTCAGATGTAAAGAATGATTCATCTTTATTGAACGAGTAGTCATACAAAGTCCCAACATAACCAACCATCAACAATCCAGAAACACGAGCATGTGTTCACGAGTGCTGTGGTTCACCCTGTAAATAAATACTGTTCCTGAATGATTCTCAGCCTCTCGTTAAATTAAGTGCTGAATGTATGAGGAACATAAGGAAAACCTTGGCACATTAGAGAAGGTAACAGACTGCTTTCCTCTGGTCTACAATCACACTGCTGTACAAAAGCTCAACGCAACTGAAACTTCATATGATTTTCGCCTACAAAACCACCACTGGCTCTGCACCCATTTGCCTAAATTCATTACTTCAGAGTTATGTGCCTCTAGAAGCTTCTGCAAGTGAACCAACATCCCAAAAATCACTTTCACAGACTTTTACATGAACTGTTCCCTCCTGGTGGAATGACCTGCCCAACTCAGTCCTTAAGAGTCCTTAACCATCTTCAAGAATCGGCTAAAAACACATCTCTTATTTGACCCTCTAACTCTAGCACTCTCTATTCTAATTCTATTCTTTATAAAAAAGACTTGCACTCTATTCATTTACTAACTGCTTGTTTTCTTTAAAAAAAAAGACTAACACTAGCTTCTCTATTCTTTTTATTTATTATACAGTTAACAAAAGCAAAAAAGGCCTCTAACACTAGCTTGCTCTATTCTTTTTCTATTCTGTTTTCTTTTTATTTACCTTGCTAGGTTTACTGCATTAAGCTAACTGAGACTTGTTACAGCACTTGTGTAAAGAGAAGAAACATATTTCGTGTTAAATGGGACGTTTTTGAAAGTCGGTGCTTGAAATAGGCTAAAGCTTTTTATTTCATTGATTTTTATTGATGACTGCAGTGTTCATATTTTAATTATAGGCCTATAATTAATTGTAGCCTATATTAGACCTGTTTTAAAAGGCCTTTTATTAAACATTTTAATTGAGGAGTAAATAGCCTTATCTTTTGTTATCCTCGCAGAACGTCAGCTATGTGGTAATATTGCGGGGCAAATTAATTGTAATGTTAATTTAATAATTAACTTTAATTATAAAAGTAACTTCATAATAATAATAGGCCTAATAAAAATAAGAATGTAACAGGCCGGCCTACATTAATTGGAAATATATATATATATATATATATATATATATTTTTTTTTTTAAAGAAATAAACACCTTTATTCTGCAAGTACGCATTAAATCGCTCAAAATGACAGTAAAGACATTTACAATGTTACAAAATATTTCTATTTCAAATAAATGCTGTTCTATTGGACTTTCTATTCATCTGTGAATCCTGAAAAATAAAATGCATCACAGTTTCTACAAAACTATTCAGCAGCACACTAAAGACTGGAGTAATGATGCTGAAAATTCAGCTTTGATCACAGAAAGAAATAACTATTATAACATATATTCACGTTTTCTTCAGTTGTTTTAAACCGTAATAATATTTCACTGTTTTTACTGTATTTTTGATCAAATATAATTTGTTTATCATTTCCACACAGCAGAGACTTGGAGTTGTTTCCAAACAAAAAGAAATATATCGGTATCGGCCAAAAAAAAGTGTTGAAAAATATCGGATATCGGCAAAAATCCAATATCGTGCATCCCTACTGTGTATATCTGTAACAATTCACTGAGCAGGGAATTGACAAGTTTGACATGCCTCACATTAAAATTAACTTGTATTGCTTAAAAATCATGTTTCGTTCGACAGCCGCACCTGTATGTTGACCTGATAGTCTGTAGGTCCGTGAATGGATCCATAAAGCCCGAACCCCACGATAAATATCCTGCGATTCACAGAGAACCTGCAGGGAGCAGTGATTGGGTTAAGTTAGTTGGCTTCACAGTGGTGTTAGCGGCATGAAGGAACACACGGGCGTCTCTCTCTCTCTCACCGGATGCGGTCGCTGGTCCCGCTGTAACCCCAGCGGCTCTCCACCTGCCCGAAGCGCGTGATGCTGCACTCTTTCCCCCGCAGACAGCAGCGCGGCCGGTCGATGAACTCCACACGCGGTTTAGGATTCACCGTGAAGTGCAGGAACAGACTCACCACCTGTCTGTCCATCAGAATGGCCGACTGAGCAGGACCTGTGTGAAACACACGCATAAAGCTACTGCAGCTTCAATGTACTATCATTATAAAATAAATTCATTATTGTTTAGGCTATTTAATTCTAACAAATAGGTTCTTGTTAAAAACTAACCAAAATTTTAAAATAATTTGTTTATCATTTCCACACAGCAGAGACTTGGAGTTGTTTCCAAACAAAAAGAAATATATCGGTATCGGCCAAAAAAAAGTGTTGAAAAATATCGGATATCGGCAAAAATCCAATATCGTGCATCCCTACTGTGTATATCTGTAACAATTCACTGAGCAGGGAATTGACAAGTTTGACATGCCTCACATTAAAATTAACTTGTATTGCTTAAAAATCATGTTTCGTTCGACAGCCGCACCTGTATGTTGACCTGATAGTCTGTAGGTCCGTGAATGGATCCATAAAGCCCGAACCCCACGATAAATATCCTGCGATTCACAGAGAACCTGCAGGGAGCAGTGATTGGGTTAAGTTAGTTGGCTTCACAGTGGTGTTAGCGGCATGAAGGAACACACGGGCGTCTCTCTCTCTCTCACCGGATGCGGTCGCTGGTCCCGCTGTAACCCCAGCGGCTCTCCACCTGCCCGAAGCGCGTGATGCTGCACTCTTTCCCCCGCAGACAGCAGCGCGGCCGGTCGATGAACTCCACACGCGGTTTAGGATTCACCGTGAAGTGCAGGAACAGACTCACCACCTGTCTGTCCATCAGAATGGCCGACTGAGCAGGACCTGTGTGAAACACACGCATAAAGCTACTGCATCATATTTGATACAAGGCTTTACAATCAATATCCTCCATGCTTTGATTGATTTACATCACAAGCATCTCATGATAGAAATATCAGCATCTGCACCAAATTGCAGTTTTTCCCCTACTTATTCTCACTATATCCTTCTATATGTGACCCTGGACCACAATAGCAGTCATAAGGGTCAATTTTTAAAAAATTGAGATTTATACAACGTCTGAGATCTGAATAAATAAGCTTTCCATTGATGTATGGTTTGTTAGGATCTGACAATATTTGAAAATCTGGAATCTGAGGGTGCAAACAAATTCAAAAAATTGAGAAAATCATCTTTAAAGTTGTTCAGATGAAGTTCTTAGCAATGCATATTACTAATCAAACATTAAGTTTTTATATATTTACGGTAGGAAATTTACAAAATATCTTCATGGAACATGATCTTTACTTAATATCCTAATGATTTTTGGCATAAAAGAAGAATAGATCATTTTGACCCATACAATGTATTTTTGGCTATTGCTACAAATATACCTGTGCTACTCCAAGGTCACATATTAGCTATAAAAGCCTGATGTATCAACATTATATTTTGTCTAAAGGTTCAATAAACTTTCCCATTTCAAAACATTAGTTTTTTTCTGACTGTTATTACGTATTTCAGGCTTTACAGGGTTAATGCCATAAGCGCGGCATGTATAGAGACCTGCGGCGAATTCCTCGATGGTCATGAGAGGGAAGCGGATGAGATTGAGCGCTTTTCCCAGCACGCGTCTCTTGTTCTCCGGCGTGGGCTGGAGCTGCTGTCGGTGAGCTTCAGCTTCTGCCCAGCGAACTGCCGCTCCGAACAAATGCACCTCGCGCACACCCAGAGTATCTCTCTCCAACACCGCAACCAGCGTGTCTGACAGAGACAAGAGAGAGACCGACGTCTGTGAGGATGAGAGGAACCAACACCAAAAATATACACAAATCTGCTTAGTGTATAATAAGCTTTGGAGTTGGTAAGATTTAGTTTGTTAATGTTTTTGAAAGAAGTCTCTTCTGCTCATCAAGGCTGCATTTATTTGATTAAAAAATACAAGACAGTGAAACATTATTGCATTTAAAATAGCTGTATTCTATGTCAATGTTATAATGTAATTTATTTCTGTGATGCCCAGCTGTATTTTCAGCATCATTCCTCCAGTCTTCAGTGTCACATGATCTTCAGAAATCAGTATAATATGCTGATTTGCTGCTCGAGAAACATTTCTGATTATTATCAATGTTGAAAACTGTTGTGCTGCCAAATATTTTTGAGGAAACAGTGATACAATCTATTCTTCATTATTCACAGATGAACAGAAAGTTCAAAAGAACAGCATTTATTTGAAATAGAAATCTTTTGTAACATTTAGTCTTTGCTGTCAACTTTTGAGCAATTTAATGTGTTCCTGCTGAATAAAAGTAATTTCGTTAAAAAAAAAAACCACATTGACTGTAGATTAATTAATCGAAACATCATGTAACTAGATTAAAAATTGTAATCGACCGACAGCCCTAATATTAACAGATACAAATTTTTTTTTAAGAATGTATTATTAATTGTTGCAATTAGCTAAGATTACTAAAAGCATTCAAAGTATTGTTCATTGTTAGTTCATGTTAACTAACGTTAACAAATGGAACCTTTAGCAATACAACTAAAAGAAAACAATAGGATGAAGTAAAATAAAACTATGTAAATCACGGGCACGATTATTAGATATGTTTTTTATTATTTCACCCGAAATGAAAATTCAGTCATCATTTAATCACCCTCAAGTTGTTCCAAACCTGTAAGAGTTTCTTTCTTCAGTCAACAGAAGTCAATGGCTACCAACAACTCTTTGGTTAGCAACATTTAAAATATCTTGACAGGTAAACATGTTGACAGAATTGGCATTTTTAGGTGAACGATCTCTTTAACACTGACTCCGTGCTGTCAGAGTTTGAGCAGCGGTCCTATAATGCGGTGTACCGTGGACTTGTTTCCGTGATACAGTACCCAGATCAATATCTGTGAATCCCTCAGCGGCCAGAGCGTCTCCTGTGTTTTTGTCGATGTTCTCCAGGCACAGGCTTGCCAGCTGCGGCTCATCGAACAGTCTCGCCTTCAAACAAACCACACATCAGCCTATCAGAGTCTGACAGGTAAAGTCTGTGTAAACATCACAGGCGTGAGTGAATGAGCTCTACCTGTGTGAGCAGCATGAACGCATTGTCTGCGCGCAGGTTCTTCTTCAGAAACTCCACACAATGGGCCTCCAGAGCAGGAACGGCGTATTTCTTAGCGGTGTAGAGAGTCGTCATCACCGTCTCAGGTCCGATGTGAACCTCATCAGAGTACAGGAACCTGGAGAAAAGGTTACACATCTGAAGCTTTCTGGAATGTATATACGTACATGCACATTGAGAAAAACGCTCATACTTGAGCAATGCGAGGAACGCAGCAGGTTCTACATCAGGAAGCTCGATCTCTGTGGATGTGGTGGCCATGCCTCCATTAAACATGGCATCAAATACTGCACTGCCAACGGCCAGAACAAACCTGCAATGGCAATATTACAAATAATTATTATAATAACAAATAATGCTTTTATAATATTACTAATACATTTATTTAGTAACGAAGGCTCTCTTTCTCTCCCAAATCAAAGCACAGTTGAATAAATTAATCTAAATCGAAACTAAATATCTGGGTCTATACAATCCGGTCTTTTATCTTTTAAACCAGGGCTGTACAAACTCGGTCCTGGAGGGCCGGTGTCCTGCAGTGTCCTAATTAAACCCACCTGAACCAGCTAATCAAGCTCTTACTAGGCATAGAAACGTCCAGTCAGGTGTGTTGAGGCAAGTTGGAGCTAAACTCTGCAGGACACCGGCCCTCCAGGACAGTCCAGATTGGTATAACCTTGAAAGCTGCTGGACTTGTTAGTTTTGACAGTGCAAAGTTCTACAATATGCACTTCACAAAAGACTTCCTCTAGTTATGTGTGAAGTTAAAGTGCGGCACGAAGTGCATTATTGTTGTTATTTTTTTATGGTTGGATTATTGTACAGTATGCATCGATGAATGACACAGTTTTGACTGTCATGGTGTGAAATACCTGCTAATTACCGATCACTTATATTGGCTTATTCTGACTGTTGACATTGAAAATGATGCACGTTTTTTCGGTATCAGTTAATTTCTTGATTGCCGTTTTGACGGTGTCTGCTCGCATATTTTAATCATATTTGGTAATTCTCTTTATGTATTTGCCCTGATTTCATCCATTTACTTGGGAAATGTATCTAACTTTATTTTTATATTATTTTGTCTTCATTATTTTGTTTGTAAGGAGTTAAAAATGGTCCTTATCGACCTTGATTTACATGGCAATATTCTATCACATTATTTTGACTGTTAAAGTTTTGGGCGGGTTTTTGTGAGCTTTTGGGCTGGAAATCATCCATTCAATCTGGCAACACTGCGTCCGCTAGTGCTGGGCGGTATACCGGTTCATACCGATTACCGGTGTTTATTTTTGTTATGATTTGAATTTGTAAAATACCGCAATACCGGTGTATGTCGCTTAAACAACGTTGGGAACGCGACACTGTTTGAAAGGGGTCTCTTTTCACTGTTGCACTGTGGTGAGGGAACAGCTGTATGTGTTACTAAGCGTGAAAGTTCAGAAACTGAAGCTGTAGAACTAATAGAACGTGATGACACAGAAGAACTCATCCACAATATCCACACTGACCGCCACAAATATCCAGCGCCCGCTGTCATCAGCTCCTGCGTCTCACACACACCAGCGACTTTAGCTCTAGATTTAGCAACTTTCAGACCCTTTTAGCGGCTTTTTTGCCATAGAATATTCATACTGACAAACCTAGCGACTTCTCTGGATAAAGCTTAGCTATGGTTCAGTTGGAAGATTTCTCCAGTGCTGTCCCGCGAGCGCGAGGTCTGGCTTTCCCGGAGAAGTGTCGCCTCTCTCGGCGTGTGTTCTGTGCAGTGAGCGGCAGAGAAGCACCGCAGCCGACTCCTCAATAAATGAGCACAAAACAGCGTTTCCTAGCACCTGTCGCTTACTGAGTGTTAGGAATTATAAATATGAGCGTAGTTCATCTGTTAATATCACATGCACTTTTTAGTTTGTTGTTTTGTTTAGTTTGTTACTCAGACGCAGGCAGTGCGCTGCACGAGACAAAAAAGTAATATAGCCACAACAACCGCATAGCCGCTC